AAAGTACCGAACAACAACAAATTTTATTATTATTATTATTATTATTATTATTATTATTCTTGATTATATAAAAAATAACGAATTTTCTTATAAGTAAAATGAAAAAATTATTATTATTGTTATTATTATTATTATAAAAATTTTTTTTTTTTTAAAATAAATATTTCATTGTGATTTTAATAACCCTTTTTATTTAATAACGAAAATAAAAAAGAAAAACAAAATGGCGTCGAAAAGAAGTTTTTAATTTTAACTTTTTCTTCTTTTTATCTCGTTGCCCTTTTACGTGTCAAATTTTCATGAAATTTTTCATATTACGTCACGTTTTATGATGGCGGTTGTTATCGAGAGTTTAAAACAAAAGTTTTTTTTTTATGTAATTAAAACGCGGTTTATATCATTATTAATATTTCATTTAAATGTTATTAAAATATGATTTGGATGCGTTATAACTATTGCCACGATTTTCGTAACGAATATAAAGCCTGAAGGTTTTCATCTACTGCCACGTAACTACTGTTATTTTTATCTTTATGGATTTAACTATAAAGATTGTGAGAAAATTTTTTTTGCGACGTTTGAAAAGTTAAACACTCATACGTGATTCGTGACGTAGTCAAAGTTAATACGAAATAATTGATCGTACAAACAAACAAACAAACAAACAAACAAAATAAAAAAATTAAACAAAAAGTTGAAGTTTTGACTTTTTGAAAAAAAAAAAAATGGCGACGACGGCGGTGATTTGTTTTATTTTTAATTGGTCATAACATTTTTCAAAGATTTTTTTAATAATAATAATAGTAATGAAATAAAAAAATTTTATCGAAAAAAAATTTTTTTTTTTAAACGTCAGAAAAAATTATATATCTGCCAACAAAATTTTTTTTTTCTTTCCTTTAATTATTTTTCCCGCCATTTTTTTTAAATTTAAAAAAAAAAAAAAAAACGTTAAAAAATTTTTAAAAATTTTCTGTCCTTTTAAAAAAATATTTTTTTTTAATTAATTAATTAATTATTGTTTGTTTCGTTATTATTACTAAATGACTAATAATAATAATAATAATAATAATAATAATAATAATAATAATAATAATAATAATAATAATAATAATAATAATAATAAATGGATGAGTCGTAAAAAAAAAAAAAAAAACGTTAAAAATTAATAAAAATAAATTTTTTTTTTTGGAAGGGAGGGGGAAAATCTTCGTTGCGTGAAATAAAAAAATTTTTTCCCGACATTTTTAAATTTATATTTTTCTTTATTTTATGCGTAAAAGGACGAACACGCGCACACGCACACACACACACGCACTCACGCACAATTTTTTATCGACGTAAAAAAAAAAATTTTTTTTAAATTTAAACGAAAACGAAAACGAAAGGAATGAATGAATTAATATGAGTAAAAATGTGTATTTTACAAAACCGGAAACAGCAATCAAAAAAGCAATTTTAAAGAACAGAAACAAACAAACAAAAATGCAATAAAATAACTAATGATAATGATAATTTAAAAACCGTTTGTGCATTTTCGATAATTTAACAAGGAAATGAAACAAACGGTTGTTAGTTATTACTTAAACGAAAAGTTTCTTTTTTTTTTATTAAAAATGAGAAAAGTTTAATTTCTTTTCGTGTGAAAGAGAGAGAGAGAGAGGGGGGGGAAGGGAGAAAGGGGGAGTTGGTTGTTGCAAAACATCAAAGTTTTACGTCAGCATCTGCGACAAATTTATCTAAATATCCGTTTTTGTAAAAAAAAATTTTTTTTTATTAAAACTCATTTTTTTTTTTTTACCAAAAAGGAAATTATACGAAAAAATAAAAAAAAAAGTATTTAATTACTTTTATGCATTTCAAACAATTTTATAATTATTTTGTTTTACAATTTATAAAAGTTAGTAACGCTTATTGTTTAATAATGGGAAGACATATGTTTTTTACAAAACGGGGATCTTCAAATAAATTCCAATAACTGAATAAACTTATTATTAAGTACGATTATTTGATATAAAATGTTTACTCTATGACGTAAAAAAATCAGTTTTTTTTGTTATATAAAATCTCTCTCTCTTTCTCTCTGTCTCTCTCTCTTCCTCTCTCTCTCTCTCTTTCTCTATATTTCTCTCTGTATTTCTCTCTCTCATTCCCTTTTTTCCAATTCTTTTCCTTTCTCTTTCTTCTCTTCTTTTTTTTTTCTCTCTTTCTCTCTTACTTTTTCTTCCTTTCACTCACTCACTATCTCCCTCTCTCTCCTATTCCCTTTAAAAAAAAAAAAAAAAACGAGAAAATATTTCTACCCGTTTTTCCACCACAATTTTTTTTTCTTTTTTTTTTCTTTGTCTCAATTCAAATCAAATCGACTCTTGTAAAAATTTTCATTTTATCACATTATTTTTTTTTAAAGTTATTATTATTATTATTTCATTTCCTACGATATATGAAAATCGTATTTTTTTAATTCCTGATAAGATACTAATTCGTGATAAGAACAAAAACAAAAATAAATAAAAAAAAACATTTGCGACGATACGTCGTATTATTAAATTTAATTTAAAAAAAAAAAGAAAAAAAAATTACAATTTATTTATCCAGTGGGAAATTTTTTTTCTTTTTTAACTTATTTTACGGTCTACAAACGCTCTACAACTACAACTACAAACACTACAACCACTAATAATATAACCAATCGCACAATAAACTCTCTCATTTTTTTTTTAATAAAAAAAAAAAGAAAAATTATAACCCGTAAACGTAAAATTTTTTTAAAAAATAAATTTTCTACTCTTACGTCATCATCATCATCATCATCATCACTTTTATCATTATTATTATTATTATCATCAA